AATGGAAGCCCAGACCGAACAAGTCTAAGCCAAAAGGCCCTGACATATTGACATTCAAAATAGTCCATCCTGACTCACCATTAATCTGAAATACATAATCAAAATATCTAACTTACGTGATGCTCAATGTTAAATAAACAGCCCTCGCTACTGCTTGAACAGACCTCGCAAATGTGACTATACATCTATGCAAGAATTCGACTTATCATAGACATATGATATGTCTATATATCATATCACATCATAACAGATTCCTGTGATGAGTGGAACCCTTCTATATATCCCAATTCAAATAGCTCAAACAAATCATAAATATTTGCATTATATTGCTGCTGTCTGATGAAGTCTACCAATTTGCATGTCTAATTTCATTTCAGCCATTAGACATTCTTCTTCTCTTATAGGGTATTCTTGGTTGTTAAAGAAAAGATTGGGGTTGCTCTATGAGGGAAATTTAAATAAATGTACTATTATAGAATACTCCATCTAGTCATTCTATTGTTCTCTAAATTTCACTCCGTGAACTACATATTAAATTTCATTGTTCTATTTATACTTTTCATTTGCAGTGTATTTCGAATAGTTTTAATTAATGGCGCAACTAATTGAATTAAATGGAATCCAATTATGCGCGAACTTTTCGTTTTTTATAAAGCACGCCTCCATGATTACAGGGTATACCGTTTAGGTAACATAATATTCGTATTCGTGCTGACTACCAGGACTACAGGGTATTCCATATGGTTAACATAATACTCTTTATATTCATGCTGACTCCAATGGGCTTTTCAATTCAGCTTCGCTTAGGATCTTTGGTCTCAATGCGAAATTCCTAGAAATTACATATGTGCCAACATATTATCTTTAGGTCTCTTTGGTTCTATATAGCTCTTAATCAGAGCTAAGGTTTATAATCTACATGCATTCAGCTCTATCTACATATATTTCGCTCAGTTTCCATATATCGTGTCTTTACAGGGTATTCAGGGCATGCACTGTCAGTTGCTTGGGCAAAAACAATTCACAACAGTTATTCAATATGTGTCATGCCTATTTATGTGGCCCGCAGTGTAGGCAGCTTGTTAGCGACAACAGCAGCAACAACAACAACAACAACGAGAACAACAGCGAAAATGAAGTGCTATTGATATTTATGTGAGCCCAGCAAGTTAATCTAATTAAAGTTGGCAACTTATTTGCGGCACGTTGTTGCGAATCGCCTAAGTTTTTGTTGCAGTCGATTGTTATTGTTGCCATTGTTGTTGTTGTTGCTGCTGTCTGTGTTTTGTTTTTATTGTTATTTGGTAATATTTTGTTCGCTGTGCTGCGTTGTGTGGTGTTGATGGCAGGTCGTCGTATTCATTATCGCATTACACATTATTATTATTATTATTATTATTATGAAGTCCTCCTGCTCCTGCTGGTGCTCCTGCTGGTGCTCCCGTTGGTGCTCCCGCTGTATTGCTCTTACATTCCAGCTTTGATTGCCTTCATTGGCATCTCATGATATAATCATGACGCCAATGCCAGCGTGAGGTCAGCCGTAATGCGCTTAGAGCAGTAATTATTCCTACGGCACTCGGTCAGCTAATTGACTGCTGTTGTCTTACTCATTCCATTTCACTTTTTTTTTTGCTCCCTTTGTTGTTGTTCTTTTCTGTATGTATGTATGTATGTGTGTGTGTGTGTGTGTGTGAGTGCGGCTCTTTCTTGTTCATCTGGCGCATTTTGTTTTTGCGCATTATGGCAGTGCAGCGGCAGCCGGATGCAATTCTGAATCCGGATATGAATTGTTGCCCAATAACGGACTGTCGCTGATTGAGCCAGCTGTAAGTGGAGCCGGAGCTAATTGGACGTGCAAGAGAGCGTTCATTTTGAATGCGAAAAGGCTCGGCGGGTGAGTCCCATTGAGTCCCCGTTCACTTTGCGCGAAGGCCTTGTCCAGCTGTCCGCTAATTAGGCAATCATTGTTCGATTTAACAGCGACTGAGGCAGGGCGGGAGAGTGGGAGAGAGCGAGAGAGAGAACGTAGCGCACTTCACTTGCGGGCAAACTTAATTTGCGGCCACATACGAACACCGATTTACAAGTACAACAACAACTCGAGCCATTATTAGTTCAATAGGCGATTGGCAACATCCTTGGGGCACTCTCTTTGTGAGGCAGCAGGAGCAGCAGGAGCAGCAGTCAGAGCATTGCATTGTGCCAATGGAGACCGAGAGAGAGAGAGAGAGAGAGTGAGAGAGAGAGAGGGAGAGCAAAAGGTAACAAATGAACAATCAATGCAATTTCATTTCTCTTCAGTTTTTGATTATTTTCATTTTTCTTTTTATAACTGTCTTACAACTGGGGAATAAACGTGGCCGGAACGGAATCGCTTTGGCCAGTAAGACAATACATATTTAAGTATAGAAAAATACAATTATACTCTGCTTGCTATTGATGGGCAGCAAAAGGGAGTGAGAGATAGAGAGGGAGAGAGAGAGAGAGAGAGGGAGGGAGACATTTATAATCTTCTTATTGCGTAAGAAGTAAGTGCTAGGCAAATTCATAATTGAAGGAGCGGAGCAATGAGAGAGAGAGTAAGAGCAGGAGTGAGCGAGACAAGGCGAGAGTGGGGAGAGACAGAGAGAGAGAGAGAGAGAAAGAGTGAGAACAAGGGAAAGTGTGCAATTGGTAGCTTATCTCAGTCTGAACTTGAGCCAGCTGCCCAAAGACAACAACAATATGTTGTTTTAGGGGTCACAGGGGCCGCACCTGCTGCATAGATAAGAATAGAATTATGTATGGAGTAAGTTCACAAAAGCTCAGGGCAGCCGTTTAATTATTAATTAGGTATTAGGTTAGTAAATCTGCTTATTGTTTAGTTTAAGACAGTTGCAATGTGAAATATAAAAGTTTATAAGTAAAATATGTATGTGTATATGTGTGTACTCATGTTATTTGCAGAAAATTCAACTGAAAAAAATAAAAATATATTATAATAATAATAATACTAATAATAAGAATAATGTATTATTATTTGTTATTTTAAGCGTATTTTGCTAAAGTCTATTCGACAAAGCCTCTCAGCATATGTCTCATGTATATATTCATATATATCTATATATATGTAAAGGGAATTTTTTAAATGCTGCCCCAGTTAATAGCTGAAAGTTTCTTTTTATTCAGACCAGTTGGGCATTTCCTGCATGCGCCAGAATAAAGTTTGCGAATTGTTGAAAATTTCCATCAACATTTTATCACTTTGGCAGTTTTGCTCAGCTTAAGCAGACACACAAACACACACACCTACAGACACACAAGCAAACGTACTTAGTTGCAAAGCACAATTATACATACATGCACACACATTTGCATACCTATTTATATATAATCCAAATGTCTACTCACTTGAATATGCATACATACATTAAAATAAAAGATGGATTAAAATAAACACACACACACAAACACACACTCACACTCAGGCTGTGCTTGAGCTGATCATCAATCGATATGGATTTGATTTTTATTTTTGCTCTATACAATGTCTGCTTTTGTTGTTCGCCGCTCTTGCTCGAGCTGCCTGTCCAACTGCAACCGAGTGTTATCCAGCACTAATCCTCCAGCTGTGCTCCCCCATTGTGCCCATTGTTCCAGCGTTTGCAGCAAAGTCACAGCCACTTTTCCGAGCAGCTTTGTCTCAGCACTTTCATTCCATTATGGTCTCTGACTTTGACTGGACCAACAGTTAGTTTCTGCCAGGTCGCTTCCTTTTCTTCTGTCCATCTCTTGCCATGACGCAAAGCCCCTACGACTAGCTCTGCTAACACTAAGTGCAACTGTACACACGGCGTCTTATGTGGGTACTATGCAGATAGTCCTTAAGAGAACTGTAGAACAGAAGAAACGGTCGTCCATGAGTTATATAGGTTGGAATATCAACAAACATATCAATTCTTGAGTAGAGCAATGAAATAATCCTGATTTAATATGCGTGTTTGTGTGTCTATATGTCTGACTGACTCACTCTCTCTCTCTCTCTCTCTCTCTCTCTCTCTCTCTCTCTCTCTCTGCCTCTGCCTCTGACTTCGTGCCCATCTCACAGTCTGTCTCTCCATCTTTTCGGCGACGAACAACTAGAGAAGATCATTTTGATTGTCCGTATGTGTGCAGCAGTATTCATTCGGTGTTTAGATTTGAGTAAAACGAAGCTGGAATGCTTGCAGCAGCAGAGGGTGCTCCCATTGGTCACTTTAGGCTCTGCTGCGACGAGCCCTACCTGACGTCGGGCTCTACAGTTGAGCCCTTTATAAAGGGCAGCTGCTGCCGGTTCATTTCTTCAGTCGCCCAGGCCTCCCGGAGGTCAATTTTGCAGTGTGGTGAAGTGAAGTAAAGTCAAGTGAATTGTATTGAAGTGTGTGTAAATATATTTAAAAAACATTCAGCTTAGCATTTAAGAATTGGAAGATCTACTTTGAGGAAATTCTTGGAGGAAATTCGTTGAAGAAATATTCGGAGCAAATAGTTAGACAAAATGCTTAAAAGGAATACGTAGAGGAAATACTCTGAATATATACTTGGAGGAATTACTTGGATTTTCGGATTAAATACGTAAAGGAAATGTTCTGAAGAAATACTTGTAAGAAAAGGTTATTAATATTTATATAATAATATAAAAAAATATTCTTTTCTATTCATTCCACAATATCACGACCTAATATTATTGTGACCCGAGAAACGGCTGTAAAATAAGTGAATAGAAAAATAGAAATTTAGTTTAGTTTTACCACACCATGGAGTACTCTTTGCTGTAAAAAGAAACTATTATATAATTAAATAAATAATAAATTTAGTCATCAGTCGCCACTGAATGTATTTTTATTTTATTTTTAAATGTATAATATATAAAATTATATTGTTCTTATAATTTGAATATTATGTTTATGCATTATTTGTATTGGTATTGTATTCACTCTGGGAAAGAAACACAGCTTTACTCCAATAAACTGTCCAAAACTTGAGGCAAGCCAGTCAAGGAGCTGTTGTTAGAGTCAATCAGCAGTGGATGCATCGAGCGATGGATCAGCAGCAATCCTTGGGTCTATAGGAGCCGAGATATGCTTTGCATACGGTGCAGTAGTGGTTCGTGTTGTGGCAGCTGTCCACCAAGTAGGGATAGAGACAGGCGCAGCAGCACCACCTGATTGAGAGGCATGAATGAGATGCACAAAGTTCGGATTCAGGCACATACCCAATGGAGCACAGCCAGAGCGCCCAGCAGTGGGTGCGTGTGCTTGGCGTGCTGCGCAGTAGAGTGCGCCCCTGTCGGCCGCAGGCGGGGCACACAATCGCGCAGGAGCTGGCACCCAGTCGGGGCTGTGTCGCCAAAGCAAAGACGCCTGGACAAGGAACAGCAGATCAGATCAGCTATAGCTCATCTGGAACTGGAGCTCCAGCTCCATGCTAGTACTTACTGTGCGCCTGCTGCAGGCGAGCGCGATCCCTGCGCGGCTCCTGCTGCCGCGGCATGACCTCCACCTCGCCCCCACCCACGACCGGCTCCAGCGGCGGCCGCTGGGAGCAGTGGGCGACAATCTCATCCAGCCGCTGACTGCGCAGCACGGCGGGTGCGGAGAGGCTGCAGCGACGATCGGCGCTGCTGCTCTGGCAGGAGGCGCCGGTCGGATCGGGAGTGCCAGCCGAGAGCCGCAGAGTGGTCATATTGGCCATGGCGTCGTCGTAGGTGGGCGGCTGCTGCGGCTCCATGCAGCTCTCCCTGGGCTGCTCCATCGGCGTCTGGGCGCGCCACACCGGCTGGCTGGGATCCTGGCCCTGGTAGAGCATGCGGTGCTTCTCCTCGGCCATGCTCGGCTGACGGCTGCTGCCGGCCGTTTAGCTGGGCCCAAGTGGATCGCGCTGCTTTTATCGCCAGCGTTGGCTGCTCGCGGCCGTTAGCAGAACAGCTGTCGATGAGTGGAGCGACGCGGCCAGCATGTGGAAGGGATTCCATTGTTGTTGCAATTGCAGCGACGCCAGCTAATCGGGACTGAGGCTGGCTCACCTGGCCTTACCTGCCTCTACCTGCCGCTGCTTGGCACGTCCGCATCCGTTCGTCATCACACGTTCACGTTCACGTTCCCGTTACGTTACGTTACGTTACGTTACGTATGCGCCCCATCGACCGGAGCAGTGCATATTGTCAGCATCCGTTTAATTTCCGGCTCATAACTTTTGCAATATGTTGCTCGACTGCTGCTGGCCGCACGGCATTCCTATTTGCTTGACCCTTGACATACGTCTGTCTGCCATGATGACATGCCGCGCCCCGCCCCGCCCCGCCCCGCTCCGCTCCGTCTCGCTTACAGCGATGGCTCTAGGGCTGCAGTCTCAACATTCAAATCAATTTCAAATACATTATTCAGCTAAAACTAATTGTGCAACAGCGAGCTCTGATCGCAATCAGCGGCAATTAATTAGGGCCAATCGAGTGGACAATGCTCGCGCTAGTTCACAAACGCAATTAGCATGATGTCGAAGGTATTTAATTATATGACATTTTACGGCCAATTAAGTGATTGATTTCAATTTGATTATGAACAACAAACATCGAGAGATTTGATTTTAATCCTACGCCTATATAGGAACTAGGGGCGAAAACCTCAGTAGATCCAGTCAACACCACACTCAAGACCTAAAGGGCATTTTTCTATATATAATATATATATATACAGTTCTTGAAGTCAATAATCACATAATAAAATTGAATTTGAACTGTGATAGTCACGGACTCCAACTCTATTTTCTCCCAAGTTATATTTAGTATTTATAAATCCATATATTTATGTATTTCTACGAAGATTAAGCTGCCCAAAAAGTAGCAGAAATTAATTGTATAAAAAAAAAAAAAAAAATAGTAAAAATAATGATAAATAATAATAATAAAAAATATATATTTAGTATTGATTTCTACTAAGATTACGCTACCCAAAATAAATAGTAAAAATAATGATAAATAATAATAATAAAAAATATATTTAGTATTGATTTCTGCTAAGATTACGCTACCTAAAAAGTATCAGAAATTTGTTATCAAGTGCAAATAAATAAAAATAAAAAATTAATATATATTCAGTATTTATGTATGTATATATTTCCACTAATATTTTATCAAATATAAACTAAATAAAAATAAACATATAAATAACAATTAAAATAAAAAATTTAAGAAATATATTATAAAATTCAAAGTAAATTTAAAAAAAAATTATTATGGGTAAAGAAAAAATAAATGAAAAGTATGAATAGCAGCTAAAATATTCAAAGGTAAACCTTGACTGTCAAAATTTTATACAAAAAAATCAATTGAAAAAATGTTTGTTCTCTGTTCGGCTGTTGCTATGCCGCGACTTGCTCCAGAGAGGATGGGATAATAGGCTGCAAGAGCTAGACATGTTTGTTCATGTAGACGAGGCATAAGACGAAGCATTATTTCAATATTGAGCTGAAAATTAAGTGAGGAGCTCTACGCGAGAGTGTGATGGGTATGGGAGGTATATGAGTTTGAGTCTACTTCTGTGGCGCAGTCTGCAGGCAAGTCAATTAGATTGGGAGCAGAGATTATTTGTTGGTATATACTCTTGATTGCTGATTTATTATGTCTTCGCTCAAAACGTAGACATATCGGACACATCTGAGCAATGTAAAGTATATGTGGTATATAAAATGTTGTCAATCTTTGACGGACTTTACCGGCAGCCTTATATCTTTTGAAAGAGACGAACACAGTACGCCGTACAGGCTCAAGGCAGCAAGAGAGACATGGCAACAAATCTACTTGAATGATTATTATCGTCAACGTGAGAAATATTGTGTATTTCTTTGATTTAATCGTCGAATATAGAGGCAGACTTGTAGGACTGCCAAATGAGTCCATGGAATAAGGAATACAGGGCTATATGTACATATATTAAAACTATCTTAATGGCCAACGCAATACTAATTGGCTAAAAAAAAAAAAAATAAATAAATAAAGAAATAAATATAAAAAATAAAAATATGTATAAATACAAAAAATTGAAATAAAAATACAAAAATATAAACATAAGAATAAAAATATAAAAATATATAAAAATAAAAATATACATAATATAATATAAATACATAAAAAATATATATATAAAAAAATATATATATATAAATATAAAAAAAAATTAAAATATAAAAGCATATAAAATAATAAAAATATATACAGTTTTTTCCAGTTTTATATCTATTTGATATAACCTATTCGTCACATGATCAGCTAGTGATATGCTTGCCTCTTCAAGTCCTGCCTCTAAGTCTGAAATTGTTGCTGCCAACCCTGGCAACGCTGCCGTAGCCTCAACTGTCTCTGCGGCAGTTGCAGTCAGTCCGGGCATGTGGCACGGTTTGCTTTTTGGCTTTCGTGTTTATGTTTCGGTAAAGTTTTTCAATCTGTTTTGCGGGTCTCGGCACATGAACACTTCTAAGTGCCGGCGAGACTGGGCGGAGATGCAGTTTCAAAAAAGTCAAAATAAAGCGAGACAGAGAGAGAGAGAGGGAGAGAGCATAACTTAGTGCTCCAAGTTGCCAACTGATTGAAGTTTCGTAGCCAGATTGCATTTAATCAACTTTAGCAACTCGTTTGCTGATTACTTTTGACGCATTTATGGAAATTTATGCATTTGGAAATTAAATAGGTAGAAACAACAAGAGACACAGACACAAATGCACAGAGAAATATCTAATTTGCATGCGTATTTCGTATGACGACGCCTCGATCCCATCACATCTATAGGCCACTTATCATTGTGTATGTGTGTGGATGTTTTATTTTATTTTGTATTTTTTTTCTGTTTTTCATATATTTTCATATTTTCATATGCCCCCCGATGGCAATTGGGACATGCCTTTTTATTTCTCACTCGGCTTTGCATAAATTTCAAGTCCATTTGAAATTCATTTCTCGCTTTGATGTTTGCTTTATTGCATTCCGTTCGTCCCCCCTCCCATTCTCTTCCTTGCTGACTGCGAAAACTACAAATATATATGTATGTATGTATGTTTGTATATACATGCATAAAACTAAAGTCTTATCGATAAACCAGGTCCAAGGCGAGGGGCAAGGGCTGCGGCCGGCTTGTGCAAACAACAGCTGAGCCGTCGAGTATCGAAGAGTCGCCACTTGGGAACATATTCCGATATCTGCAGACCATTTGTCACAGATGTTTTCACGTCACGGCTGTCACGCCACACTAATGCGATGGAAATGTGTTTTCACTTTCCACGGCACCTTGAGCCGAGCCGAGTAGAGTCAACAATCTCTGGCATATTCCGTACGAAAAGCTGATTTGCTATCAATGTCAATATTAGACTTAACTATCAAAATGATTCAAGTGCTGGCCGTTGAGTGTCGGCAAAGTAAAGGTATTTCCACTACTTTCACAAGTTTTCAATTAGTCTAGACTCTAGAGTGAGGCTGGGTGAGCGTTACTGACTGCAGAATGCTCGCTCACAGCCAAATGAAGTTGCCAGAGGGAAATTGGCAAATATTGTAGAGTCAATTGAGAATCCGTTTTGATTATAAAATGTTGAACGCTATCTAAAGAGTCGTTCGACTCGGTGATCTACCAGCACCGTAAGCTCTAGCTATAGAAGCTGCTGTAAAGGCAAGCAAGATGATCTACGAACACCGTAAGCTCATTGACTCTGTGTAAGCATTTGATCTCTGTTTAGAGATTTGATCGGAAGAGTAGTTCGACTGTGATCTACATACACCGTAAACTCATTGACTCCGCTGTATAAGGATAATCTGTAGGGATGATCTGTTATTGTCGCAGATTCAATTATAAAATCATATTGATTCTTTGATCTAAAACACTATCTGATTTTGGACTTGATCTGAGCAGTCGATCGACTCGGTGATCTAGAAACACCATAGCTAAAAAGCTGCTATAAAAGCAATGCGGAAATTCGATTCGCTGTAAACTCATTGACCTATCTTTAATCTGAAGGGATAATCTGCAATCGCTGTTGAAATAATTAGATAATAAAATCGAATTGATTGTGGTTCTTTTGGCATTGATATAAATTCTGGATATACACATGTTATACAAAGCTATATATCTAATTCAAGTCTCATTTTCAATTATCTCTTTCATATTGTGGAGTACATTAAACAAAGCATATATTATCATTAATATAAATCCAACTGTAAATTAAACTGCTTTATTCTTTATTTATATTTTTAATAAATTTTCAATGGACGAGTATTCCACAGTCTGCTACGCCCACTTTTAGCATTGTAAATTTCAAATTTCTGCAGTCTTTTCTTTCAGTCCACGCTGTCTTATTTATTGATCATTGCGGTTTGGGAGAAGTGTGTAAACAATAATTTGTTTAAGTGCAATTAGCGCAAAATGGATTTCGCTTGCGGAAGTGGATGAGACGAGGCAAAAGCAAGGAATAGAAGCAGACACACTTATACACACACACACAGAGTGAGAGAGAGGGAGAGCAACAAAACTGTTGAAGTATTTGCGGCCTGTTGAAATTCAACTAAATTTGTTTTCAGGAATGCGCCGCAGAAGAAGAAGAGAAGGAAGAAGAATAAGACTAACAGCAACAGTAAAAACAACTGCGGAATTGAAACCAAAACACGTGGTTTTATCAAATACTTGGAATATACAAAATTTAATTGATATTGATTTCCAAAGCTATTCAATTAGTACTCATAGAAATTCGTATAGAAATATTTACAAATATATTCAGAGCAAATTTTTGTATCTTGTATGTCTATAAAAATGTGCTAAAAATCGTACAGTGAATTTTCCATCTTACATATTTTTATTTATTTTATGAATTCTTTGCAGTTTTACATATTGATT